TTGGCGGGCCTGGGCTGGATTTGAACCTGCCACCTTAGGTGTATGTGGCTGGTGCCTTAGCCACTTGAGCCACAGGTGCCAAGCCGGAATTCAAGGTTTCAAAAAGTGATGATGACAACTGTGCACTCTAGATGGAGCAACAGAGAAAGACTATGCCTCCACCAAAAAAAGGTGAATAATTAATAATAGTACTGGCTATATTAGAAACAATCCTAATCCTGACTTGGTGCCTGTAGCTCAAGTGGCTACGGTGCCAGCCACATACACCAAGGCTGGTGGGTTCGAATCCAGCCCAGGCCTGCCAAACAACAATGACAACTAGAATCAAAAAATAGCCAGGCGCTATGGTGAGTGCCTGTAGTCCCAGCTACTTGGGAGGCGAAGGCAAGAGAATCACTTAAGCCTAAGAGTTGGAGGTTGCTGTGGGCTGTGACGCCACAGCACTCTACCCACAGCTACAGCTTGACACTCTATCACAAAAAAGAAAGAAAGAAATAATCCTAATCCTTAAAAAAAAAAAAAAAGGATGTGCTGAATAGGCACAAAACAGAATGAGTATGGATTTTTCAGAATTAAAAAAACTTAATTCTGAAAATGTTAATATTCAGGAAATCTGGGTGATGTATATACAGGAATTCTTTGTATTATTTCTGCAACTTTCCTCTAAGTCTGAAATTAGTGTTCAAATAAAAAGTAGATAAAAACAAAAATAAAAACAGATTACATACTCAGCACTACGGTTAAAATTTAAAAAGTGAAAAATAACTAGTATTAATAAATTTGTGGAGCAATCTGAATGCTCACATCCATTCTGGTAGGATTGTGAACTGGTACAATCATGGCAGTTTGGCAATGTCCACTGAAGCTTTTCATGTGGATACTCTATGACGTATCAATTTCTTTCCTAGTTAAATATTCCCAAGAGAAATGCATACTTATGTTCAACAGAAGATATACAAGAATGATCTTAGTGGTATTATTTTATGGAATCCCAAACTAGAAACTATCCACATGCCTGCCAAATGTAGAAGTAAATGAATTAATGGAATACTATACAATATCATGAAGGAACTACACCTACATGTAACAGCATAGATCAGTTTCATGAAAATAATGTTTTTTTTTTTTTTTCAGGTTAACAGGGAGAGGTTTCATTAGGAAGAACAAAGAAAGTTTAGAGCACTTCCCTATCATGAAGGAGAAAAGGTGAGAAGACCTTTTTCTTTTGAGACACAGTCTCACTTGTCACCCTTGATAAGAGTTCCATGCCATCATAGCTCACAGCAACCCCAAACTCTTGGGCACAAGAGATTCTCTTGCCTCAGCCTCCCGAGTAGCTGGGACTACAGGTGCTCACCACAATGCCTGGCTATTTTTATTTATTCATTTTTTTGAGACAGAGCCTCAAGCTGTTGCCCTGATAGAGTGCCATGGCATCACAGCTCACACCAACCTCTAACTCCTGGGCTTAAGTGATTCTCTTGCCTCAGCCTCCCAAGTAGCTGGGACCACAGGTGCCCACCACAAACTTGGCTATTTTTTGGTTGTAGTTGTCATTGTTGTTTGGTAGGCCTGGGCTGGATTCAAATCCATCAGTTCTGGTGTATGTGGTTGGCGCCTTAGCCACTTGAGCTATAGGTGTGGAACCTGCCTGGCTATTTTTAGAGGTGGGTCTCACTCTGGCTCAGGCTGGTCTCAAACCTGTGAGCTCAGGCTATCCCGTCCACCTCGGCCTCGTATAGTGCTAGGATTACAGGCATGAGCCACTGCATCCAGCTTTTTTTTTTTTTTGAAACAGAGTCTTTGTTACTCTGGGTAGAGTGCTGTGGCATCATCATAGCTCACAGCAACCTAGTCTCTTGGGCTCAAATGATCCTCTTGCTTCAGCCTCCCAAGTATCTAGGACTATAGGTGCCTACAACACCCAGCTAGTATTTTTATTTTTATTTATTTATTATTATTTTTGTAGAGACAGAGTCTCTCTATCACCCTCGGTAGAGTGCCATGGCATCACACAGCTCACAGCAACCTCCAACTCCTGGGCCCAGGCGATTCTCTTGCCTCAGCCTCCAGAGTAGCTGGGACTACAGGCGCCCGCCACAACACCCGGCTATTTTTTGTTGCAGTTTGGCTGGGGTTGGGTTTGAACCTGCCACCCTCGGTATATGGGACCAATGCCCTACCCACTGAGCCACAGGAGCTGCCCTTTATTTTCATTTTTTGAGACAGTTTCACTCCATGCCCTGAATAGAGTACAGTGGCATCATAGCTCACAGCAACTTTTAACTCTTGGGGAGCTTATGTGATCCCCTTGCCTCAGCCTCCTAAGCAACTGGGACTATGGGTGCCCCAAAATGCCCAGCTTGTTTCTTTTGGTTTTTAGTAAAGACGAGGTCTCACTGCTATCTGAGACTCTTCCCCACAATCCATCCTCTGCTCTTTCCTTTGCAGGTGAAGGCCTGACCTGTAGTCTGAAAGGTCTTTCTATTTGCTCCTGTTCTTTCCTCTTTATTCTTCACAAGAAATTTCTTTTAGATCTAATTCTATCTTTTTTTTTTGGCTGGGGCTGGGTTTGAACCTGCCACCTCTGGTATACGGGGCCAGTGCCCTATCCTTTTGAGCCACAGGCTAGATCTAATTAGATCTAATTTTATCTTGATGTCTATTTCTCAGAGGACCTGAATTGACAAAAGGCCATTTTGTGATAGGTCCCTATTTTTGGATATAAATGAACAGAAAAATTACTGTCTTCTCAGAGAATGCTTACTAGTACAAATATCAGTACCAGTTACCTGGCAGAATAACAGGTGATCTAGACCCAATATAACATTTATTTTTCCTTTGTCAGATTATCTCCTTCTCTTTTACTTGTCTCTACTTTACATCACACAGTTAGCAAAGTCATGGAGAAATCAACTACTACAACATCATCTCAGCTAAGTACCCCTGAACGTCTAATAAACATTTCCACTACTCTAGCAACTTTAAAAATTTAACTATTATTGTAGCCAGGTCTGATCCACAAAAATCAAGATGATTTTATCATCAAATTATTACTACCATAGCTGGGCGTTGTGGTAGGTACTTGTAGTCCCAGCTACTTGGGAAGCTGAAGCAAGAGAATCGCTTAAGCCCAGGAGTTTGAGGTTGCCGTGAGCTGTCATGCCACAGCACTCTACCCAGGGCAGCACAGTAAGACTCTGTCTCAAAATATAAAAAAAATTATTACTAACATGAGTGCAACCTTTCCACAGTATGTGGTGATACAATCTCGGTAAAGTTACAATGAATCTAGGACTTTTGAGTTTAAAAAGCTTTCCATAAGGATCATGCTTTGTAAACATAAACCCAGTTCCCATAATGTCTTCTGATGCATAATACCCATATGACTTTTTTTTTTTTTTGCAGTTTTTGGCTGGGGCTGGGTTTGAACTCACCACCTCCAGCATACGGGGCTGGCACCCTACCCCTTTGAGCCACAGGCGATGCCCTACCCATTATGACTTTTAAATAAATACCAAAAGGCTAATAAAAATCCAATTTCTGGCACCCACAGCACAGTGGTTCGGCTGCCGGCCACATGCACTAAGGGTGGCGGGTTCAAACTCGGCTCGGGCCAGGTAACAATGACAACTGCAACAAAAAAAAGCCGGGTGTTGTGGCAGGCGCCTGTAGTCCCAGCTACTTGGGAGACTGTTTGAGGCTGCTGTGAGTTGTGATGCCACAGCACTCTACCCAGGGCGACAGCTTGAGATGCTGTCTCAAAACAACAACAACAAAAGAAACAAAAAAGAAAAAATCCAATTTCATGAAAAACTCAAGAAATCTAAATCTGTCTCATCATCCTTCTGAAGTAGGTAGGTTCATCTTCATCAATAAACATAAACACAACCATAATTTAAACACTACTATAGGAAAAGATTTAGATTCCCAAAGGTTAATAATAATTACTCCTTTTTATACAATTTTTTTATTGTAGTAAAAAAACTTAAAATGAGATCTATAGATACAATATTGTGCTAAATTTTCTAGAATTCAGAACTTACTCTTGTTTTGTCAAACAGTTCTGAAACTTTGAGGAAAAACCTAGAAGAGAAAAATATTTTCATCAGAAGCTACATTTGAAATAATTTTCCATTTCAAACATTCAAAGATTATGTCCCCAAACCATATCTATAATAAACACTGTCTCCTAATAGTCTTGTTAACTTTCAATCATTTAACAGATGATTTGAAATTTGTTATTAGAGAGTATCTGTCCATTTCATTTTAAGATGACAGTTTAAGCCATTAATGTAAATTTAAAATTTATCTCCATATTATTATTATTATTATTTTTGAGACAGAGTCTCAAGCTGTCGCCCTGGGTAGAGTGCCATAGCATTACAGCTCACAGCAACTTCAAACTCTAGGGCTTAGCAATTCTCTTGCCTCAGTTTCCCAAGTAGCTGGGACCACAAGGGCCTACCACAACACCTGGCTATTTTTTTTTTATTGTAGTTATCATTGTTGTTTAGCAGGCACAGGCCGGGTTCAAACCCGCCAGCCCCAGTATATGTGGCAGGTGCCCTAATCACTGAGCTACAGGTTCCAAGCCTGTGTTTTTGGAAGACAGGGTCTCACTCTGCTACCCTACCCTGTAAGTGCTGTGGTACAATCATAGCTCACTACAGCCCAGAACTCGTGGGCTCAGGCAATCCCTCTGCCTCAGCCTCTTAAGTAGTTGGAACTAAAGACATAAACCACTATGCTCCGCTAATTTTTAAATTTTTTGTAGAGATGGGATTTCACTTTGTTGCCCAGGCTGGTCCTGAGCTCTTGGCCTCATGCAATCCTCCTGCCTTAGCCTCCCAAAGTGCTAGAATTACACACACAATCCATTGCCTGTGGCCTATCTTGATACTCTTCATCATTATGCTATGTAATACTAAATAAAACATACACCTTCAAAATTATTAAAGAAATACAAACCAATCACATTCAAAGAGCAAAGACTGATTTAAAAGTCTTTTAAAACGGTTATATCAAAGCTGTAACCGTTCCTTTTTTTATTTTTATTTTTAGAGACAGAGTCTTACTTTGTTGCCCTCAGTAGAGTGCTGTGGCATCACACAGCTCACAGCAACCTCCAGCTCCTGGGCTAGGTGATTCTCTTGCCTCAGACTCCTACAGGCGCTTGCCCTAACATCCGGCATTGCAGTTTGGCCAGGGCCGGGTTTGAACCCGCCACCCTCGGTATATGGGGCCAGCGCCCTACTCACTGAACCACAGGCACCACCTGCTGGAACAGTTCTTGAAGTTATTTGATGGTTTCTTTTTCTTTTTTTTGAGGCTGAGTCTCACTCTGTCACCCTGGGTAGAATATACTTGCAACATCATAGCTCACTATAACCTCAAACTCCTGGGCTTATGTGATCTCCCTGCCTCAGCCTCTCACATAGCTGGAACTATAGGCATGTCCCATGAGCCCCAGTTAATTTTTCTACTTTTAGTAGGGATGGAATATATGGCTGGTATCATTGCTTACAAAAGTGTCTCGAAATGTTCTCTTTATATTGAGAAATAAATAAATAAATATATATATATATATATATTTTTTTTTTTTTTCCTGGTTTTTTTTTTGGCCAGGGCTGGGTTTGAACCTGCTGTCTCAGGCAAATGGGGCCGGTGCCCTACCCTTTTGAGCCATAGGCACCTCGCAAGATTTTTGTTTGTTTGTTTTTACAGACATAGTCTTACTTTGTTGCCCTCAGTAGAGTGCTATGGCGTCACACAGCTCACAGCAATCTCCACCTCTTGGGCTTAGGTGATTCTCTTGCCTCAGCCTCCCAAGTAGCAGGGATGACAGGCACCCACCACAATGCCTAGCTATTTTTTGGTTGCAGTTTGACTGGCATCAGGTTTGAACCTGCCACCCTTGGTATATGGGGCCGGCGCCCTACTCACTGAGCCACAGGTGCCACCCTTTTATATTTTTTATTTTTGAGACTCACTTTAATCGCTCTCAGTAGAGTGACATGGGGACACAGCTCATAGCTACCTCCAACTCCTGGGCTTAGGAGATTTTCTTGCTTCAGCCTCCTAAGTAGCTGTAAGTACATGCGCCTGTCAGAACACCTGGCTATTTTTTTGTTGCATTTTGGCAGGGGCCAGTGCACTACCCACTGAGTCATAGGCGCTGCCCTTTATTTTTATCTTTTAATCTGTCTTTTCCATGAACTTTTTTTTCCTTTTTAGAGACGGGGTCTTACTTTGTTGCCCAGGCTAGAGGGCAGTGGCTATTCACAGGCGTGATCCCACTACTGATCAGCCCGGGAGTTTTGACCTGCTCCATTTCCGACCTGGGCCGGGTCACCCCTCCTTAGGCAACCTGGTGGCCTCTAACTCCCAGCATATTGATGCTGAACGTAGTACGGACACCCGATTGTCATAGCATACTATAGCCCAGAACTCCTGGACTCAAGCCATCCTCCTGAGTAGCTGGGACTACAGGTGCACACCACCGCATTCAGCATTTCCATGAACTTTTTTTGAAGTCCTCTTGTATATATTCTAATTTCCAAATGATATTTTTTACTTATAAGCTTTACTGAAACCTAAGAACAGTCTGACATAAATTGTGTCTCTCCTCCTTTCTCTTATATACTCACTAATCAGCCCATTTTCATCGAATAAAACATAGTAAATATTAAAATTGTACATTAAAATCTATTTTTATTCCTCATATTTAAAAAATATGAGAGCTAGCCGAGTGTTGTGGCGGGCACCTGCAGTCCCAGCTACTTGGCAGTTTTTGGCTAGGGCTGGATTTGAACCCACCACCTCTGGCATATGGGGCCGGCGCCCTACTCCTTTGAGCCACAGGCACCACCCAGTCCCAGTTACTTGGAAGGTTGAGGCAGGAGCATCACTTGAGCCTAAGAGTTTGAGGTTGATGTGAGCTATGACGCCATAGCACTCTACTGAAGGCAGCAAAGTGAGCCTCTGTCTCAAAAAAAAAAAAAAAAAAAAAAAAAATAGCCAGGCATGGTGGCTCACATCTATAATCCCAGCATTTTGGGAGGCCGAGGTGGGTAGATCACCTGAGCTCACAAGTTCAAGACCAGCCTGAGCTAGAGTGAGACCCCATCTCTAAAAATAGCCAGGCGCTGTGACGGGCACCTGTAGTGCCAGCTACTTGGGAGGCTGAGGCAAAAGAATCACTTGGACCCAAGAGTTAGAGGTTGCTGTGAGCTATGACACCAGGGCAGACTCTACCAGATGTGACAAAGTGAGACTCTATCTCAAAATAAATAAATGAATAAATAAATGAGAGAAAGGGAAGAGGAAAATGGTGTCAATCCAGGTTTATGAAAATGCTCTTTATTACCAGTGTGTTTTGACAAAAATGTTCCAAAATTTCTATTGGGATTAGAAATATTGTGCACACCCAGGATGTAACAGAAATTTTTTCTGCTGTATTTATTTATTTATTTCTTCTGCGAAGGGAAGGGTAAGAAGGGGATAAAAGGATCTATATTTAATTAGAATACTTACTTGCATATATCTGTAGAATCTTGAGTTCCTAAAGCATATAATGATGAACCAATTCTATTGTAATCATCTGCAGCACCTATGGAGAAATTTTTAATGATTTAATTTTTTTTTAGACAGAGCCTGAAGCTGCCACCCAGGATAGAGAGCTGTGGCATCACAGCTCACAGCAACCTCCAACTTCTGGGCTTAAATGATTCTCTTGCCTCAGCCTCCCAAGTAGCTAGGACCACAGGCACCTACCACAACGCCCGGCTATTTTTTGGTTATAGTTGTCATTGTTGTTTCAAAGGCCCGGGCTGGATTCGAACCTGCCAGCTCTGATGAATGTGGCTGGTACCCTACCTGCTTGAGCTATAGGCGCCAAGCTGATTTAATGTATTTATTCACTGACTTAAAAATAATTACTTGGTCAGGCACAGCGGCTCATGCCTATAATACCAGCACTTTGGGAAATGAAGATAGGAGTATTGCTTGAGGCTGGGGTAACACAGTACGATGGATGCTGTCTCTACAAAAAATTTCATAAAATTAGCCAGGTGTGAGGTGGTATAAGTCAGTATCCCAGCTACTTGGGAGAGTTAGGCAGGAGGATCCCTTGAGCCCAGTATGAGCCTGGGGTGAACGATTAGCTATGATCATGTCACTGCATTCCAGCCCAAGCAACAGAATAAGACAATCTCTTAAAAAATCTTCCCCCCAGGCTCGGCACCTATAGCTCAACTGGCTAAGGCGCCAGCCACGTACACCTAAGGTGGCGGGTTTGAATCCCCAGCCCGGACCCGCCAAACAACA